AATATAAAACACAAGATTTCAAAGCACATTGAATTGCAATGATCAACTATTTTAAAAATAAATTTTTGCTACAGTAATATCTGCTTCTGTGGTAATGCTTTAAATAACAAAATCTACCATCAAACTTGAAATGTCTAAGTGATGAGTATAAATGATATGCCAAGACATCTGCAATAAATGTAATATGGCGTGAAAATATCTGTGGTTTCTATCGGCAACAAAGTCATAAGTATGGCTAATACTAGGAAATGTTACATTTTAGCTAAAGGTTAGAGAAAATTAAAAGATGCAAATTTTGCTCGTTTAAATTCACAGAGGCACTGAATTCTATCCACAGAGCCTAGGCTCAAAGCTTCTGCTATTATAATAGAGAGACTCATTGTTTATAACCCTGGGGAGCTTCCCCTTATCTGGTATACCCCCCAGAACTGTATCTAGCTCAATGTGACAGAACAAGGGAGTGCAAAGGGTAGGTTGGGTCTTGAGCACTAAGTTACCTGTGCATCCAGGAAACAATTCATGGAAGGTTCGAATAGTTTAAAAACTATATCCTGATTCCCCCACCTATGTTCTATCTAAGCCCGAGGACAGGTTCTGAGAAAGAAAAAGATTTTAGAGTTCTTCCTCATGGAAGACTTTCTTCCCACTCAGAGAAAAGATGCATATTTGCAGGGACACCAGTCAACTTTGGTTCTAGGTAAGAACAAGGGAAATAGTCTATACACCCAGAATATGCTCCTTAAGACCCATTATCCAAGAATTGCCGATATCACTTGACGGATGGCTATAAACTCGCTTAATCCAGCCCCCAGTGGAGAAAACCACTTCATTAAACTGAGAGGCTATATGAAATCGTTGTGAAGTGTTTCTCACCAATGCAAAGTCTCAGCGTTACGGCATAGGGTTAAGAACAGGGGTCTCACCAATCCGACGCACCTCTTTTCAAATGTCAGCTTTGCCACTGCCTAAGTTTATGACTTCAGGAGATTATTTAAACCATCTGACCCTTTTAGGTTCCCCATGTGTAAAATGGGGCTTATAATAATAGCAGTGTCTACCTCATAGGGTTTTTCTGATTGAATATAAATATTATATGAAATTCTTAGGACACAGCCAGGTTCATACTAAGAATTCAATGTATTGGTTTCTGTGTAATTGGGGGCTGGTGAAAAGAAATACTTCCTGCTGGTCTCTGAGTAAAGATGATGTTGGCTTGTACCTACACCTACAGCTGTCGTTTTTTCTAGTAGCAGCATAAGGGTTAATACTGTGGCGGGGCGTGGGCAGCTCCTGTTTAGATAAAGCCACATCCCAAAGCTTCCTCTCAGCCCTTTTGCTATTGTGCGGGTTTTTCACCACCTCTTTGAAGTTTCAGAACTGACAGATGTTGTTCAATAATTCCCTCCCTACAAGATACTTACATGTAGATTTTCAAAAAGAAAACACAGGAAATTCGAGGGGAAAGTAAAACTTTGGTTTCTGACATTGAAGGTGGGGGTGTTTCTAGAGACTTCTTCAATCAGTGACCGTGTACATTTCAGGGATTTCTGTGTTTGTGCTTTTCTGAGCTTGGAAAAGACTCTATGGCCAGGAGTTGTAAAATTCAATTAGAAGTGATAGATGAACATTTCATTTGGATGTTTTTACACTGCTTAATGAATTGGAGACACAACTAAGTAATTATGCAATTAGTATTTAAAATTTTCTAATTGTGTTGGTTTCTCATATGTGATAGAGAATATTCACAATGGGTCGAAATAAAGTCTTTTCAAATCATGCCAGTATATTACAGGTTATTGAAGTGATACCTACAGGAGAGTAGCCAGCAAACTTTTTTTGCAAAGGGGCAGGGAGTAAACATTTTAGGCTCTCTGAGTCAGAGATGATCTCTGTTGCATGAACTTCTTAGTTTCTTCTTTTTAAAAATTTTATTTTTTTAATTGAGGTAATGTTGGTTAATAACATTGTATAAATTTCAGGTGTACAACATTATAATTTGATATCTGTATATTATACTGGGTGCTCACCACCAAAAGTTTACTTTCCATCTTTCACCATGCATTTGATCCCCATTACCCATTTTGCCCTCCCCTCTGGGAACTACTATACTGTTGTCTGTATCTATGAGTTTCTTTGTTACTTCTTTGTTGTATATTCTACATGAGTGAAATTACACGGTTTTTGTCCTTTTCCATCTGACTTATTTCATTTAGCATAATACCCTCAGGATCCTTCTGTGTTGTCACCAACGGCCATAATTCATCTTTTTTTGGGCTGAGTAGTATTCTATTATATGTATGTACCATATTTTCTTTATCTAACCATCCACTGATGAACACTTAGGTTGTTTCCATATCTTGGCTGTTGTCAATAAACATGAAGGTGTGTGTGTGTGTGTGTGTGTGTGTGCATATCTTTTCAATTCAGTGTTTTCATATCTTCAGATAAATACCCAGAAAGGGAATTGCTGGGTCATATGGTAGCTGTATTCTTTCCAATTTACATTCCCACCAACAGTGCACGATGGCTCCCTTCTCTCTATATCAGCTCTAGCACTGGTTATTTCTTGTCTTTTTGATAATAGCCATTCTGACAGATGAGAAATGATATCTCGTTGTAGTTTTTATTTGCATTTCCATATCAGTGAATTTTTGTTAAAGATTTTATTTATTTATTTTTAGAGAGGAGAAGGGAGAGAGAAAGAGAGGGAGAGAAACATCAATGTGTGGTTTCCTCTCAAGAGCCCCCTACTGGGGACCTAGCCCACAACCCAGGCATGTGCCCTGACTGGGAATCGAACCAGTGACCCTTCGGTTCACAGGCCAGTACTCAATCCACTGAGCCACACCAGCCAGGGCTTTCAGTGAATTTATTTTTAGAGAGAGAAGGGAGGGAGGGGGAGGGAGGGAGGGAGGGAGGGAGAGGGAGAGAGAGAGAGAGAGAGAGAGAGAGAGAGAGAGAGAGAGAGAGAGAGAGAGAGAGAGAGAGAGAGAGAGAGAAACATCAATGTGCGGTTGCTGGGGGTCATGGCCTGCAACCCAGGCATGTACCCTGACTGGGAATCGAACCTATGACACTTTGGTTCGCAGCCCACGCTCAATCCACTGAGCTACACCAGTCAGGTCATGAATTTTTTTTTTAATGACCCTTTCAACGTGGGGAAAAAGACATTCTTTGCTCAGAGGGCTAAATGAGAACAGCCATGGGTTCTTGGGCTGTAGTTTGCCGTCTCCTGCTGCAGAATATCAAAAATGTGAAGGACTTTTGTCTCCTCTAAATAATCATTCATTCAGTTTCTACAACAAACATTTGCTGACTAGCATAAAGCGCCCCATCCTGAGGCCGGTTCTGGGTGTATTATGATGATTGAAACAGACCTGGCTCCACCCGAGCAGAACATACTTTCTTATGGGAGAGACAAGCAATTGGAGAATCAAACCGATTTATGAAGGTGGGATGTCTCTGTAGTTACAAACAGGTGGCTTACTCGAAACAAAGACATTCACTGGACACTTCAGATAAGAGAGATGGACTTACAGGCAGAGAATGTTGTTTCCAGCTGTTGCACCTGGTTATTATGTCATCTGCCCCCTTAATTGTACTCTCCCAGCTCATGCTCTGCCAGACACTGGGACAGTCCACATGTTCCCACAATTCTAGTCCTTTTTGGTGTTGCTTTGCCCCACTGCCACGCCTACCCCTAGTTCCACCTGCCCTTTGTCCCTTTTAAGGTTCCTAGTGTGAGTAAGAATTCAGGTTTTTAAGAGTCAAATTGTATCCCTTCTCCTATTTGTTGTAATGTGTTAGTATATCATTCCTCAAAATACTGAGTTTTTGCTCTTGGTTGTTGAAAATAGGATGCTTGGGGGTTACTCTTCCAGTTTTTGGTGGCATCAGATAGACTGAAGACCTAAGGTTTTCATCTGGAGCATATAGGTAGTGGAAGTTGGTGTTTCCACTTAGAATTTGCCATAAGAATAGGTCGTGAATCCTATTAAGCCTAAAAACTCGAAATTGATGTGGTACTACCTTCATTTCTCACTGTGGTTTATTAAATGATGGCATCAAATGCGATTAGGTAATGGGTCCCCTTCAGGAGATATGGTTATCTCCATTCACTCAGACTGTATTCTCATCACTTCTCCCCCATAACCTTGAACACCTGTAGTAGGTGAAAACTGCCAATCGAATAACTACAGATCCCTTCTCCAATACGATGCCTGGTTCCAAACCACCTACTCATCATTGTCCTTTCTGTTCCCATGTGCAGAGCAATTAGTTTGGGAGGGTTGCTTTCCCTCAGAGAGCACTGAGGCTTCAGCTCTGGGTAGCCTGGATGTTGATCAGAACAGGACAAGGTAGGGTTTAGAAAAGAGCAAAGACTATGTGAGTATTATGGCAATCTCTTTGTTTTTACCAAAGAGTTGTCATTCTTTCTCTATTCCCAAAGCCTCCCTCAATGCCCTGAGCATAGCTCGCACTCAATAAAAGCTTGTTCCGTTTATTCAGTGCTTATTGAGGACCTGATGTGTGCGAGGTGTTGTTTATAGTCGTGAAGAAGAAAGACATGTTCCCTGCCAGTCATGGAGCACTCAGTCTGTGACAAGTGGGGAACGTAGGGAAAGATAGGTATAAAACCACTAGGTAGAGTCGCAGTTATTTAAGTTGTGCTACATTGTTACATAGGAAAAATGTATGAGTTTATATAAATTAAAATGTATGGGATTATATAAAATAAAATATTTTCTAGATTTCTTTTAGGCAGTGGCATTTAAGCTCAAGTTGGAGGGGAAGATAGGAGACATTGAATGAATGGCCACAGGCAGGGAAGACCAGACAGGTGCACGCTAGCATTTATCCTGGAATAAAAACTCACAATATATTCTCTATGAAAACTGTACTGATGTCGGTGTGTCTAGACACTTGACGTGTACACCCACTTTCTCACAGAGCATCCCTACTCAAGCCAACTCCTCTCTCCTGTTTTGTTCCCACATCAGAATATTCCACCAACACCCCCGACTTGTGGTTAGTCGTGTTCCAAGTGACAGGCGTCAGCCTCCTGCCACCCCTGGGCATTGCCATAGCTGTCATCATCGCCTTTTACTGCTACCGTGTTCACCGAAAGCAGAAGCTGACCCCATCCTGGGATACCGGCAAGCAGCGGAAGCTCATGGACCTCAGTGAGCACCTCGCCATTATTCTGGAAGACGACCGCTCCGACATCAGCTCCACGTGTGCCAACAACATCAACCACAACACGGAGCTGCTGCCCATTGAGCTGGACACCCTGGTGGGGAAAGGTCGCTTTGCCGAGGTCTACAAGGCCAAGCTGAAGCAGAACACCTCAGAGCAGTTCGAGACCGTTGCGGTCAAGATCTTCCCTTATGAGGAGTATGCTTCTTGGAAGATGGAGAAGGACATTTTCTCAGACATCAACCTAAAGCATGAGAACATCCTCCAGTTCCTGACGGCCGAGGAGCGGAAGACAGAGTTGGGGAAGCAGTACTGGCTGATCACTGCTTTCCATGCCAAGGGCAACCTACAGGAGTACCTCACGAGACATGTCATCAGCTGGGAGGACCTGTGCAAGCTAGGCAGCTCCCTGGCCAGGGGCATAGCTCACCTGCACAGTGACCACACCCTGTGCGGGAGGCCCAAGATGCCCATCGTGCACAGGGACCTCAAGAGTTCTAATATCCTCGTGAAGAACGACCTGACCTGCTGCCTGTGTGACTTTGGGCTTTCCCTGCGTCTGGACCCCACTCTGTCTGTGGATGACTTGGCCAACAGCGGGCAGGTAAGTTAAACCTGATCACCCACCCCCAGTTCTTAACCCCTAAATAGCCCTACACTCTCGACACTTATCTATATCCCACCCTCTCCTGACAGGGGGCCTTTGCACGTGAAGAGCATGTCTCCTCCTGTTTCTTTAAATCCTCCCCAATTCAGGACAGACATTTTTCTCCTTGCATTGATCCTCATTTCTCTTCCATTTGAAAACCGTTTTGTGTGTGTGTGTGGCTCAAACGCTGTTAGCAGTTTATCTCTATTTTTCTCTCTCCTATGATGATACTCAGCCCTTTCTACTCTTACTGCTATTAGTACTGCTAGTGGTTATATTGTTCTGTTGCATTTTGTTTTACGTTGTTCTAGAAGGCAATCTCCTTGAAGTCCAAATCCACATCCATTTGGTCACAATGCCTTGAACGGTGAACGTGACCAACGCATACTTGTTGTGTGAGTGATGGAGTGAGTGAATGAACAATTCCACTTTTGAAGCATCCCGCCGGGTAAAACAGAAACCGGTTAAGCTAAGGAAAGTGACTAGAAATTACCAGGACATCCTTTTTGAATGACGGGGCCCCATGTTTTCACATACCGGAAGCTTAACTGTGGATTAGAACGGAGTCTCCAGAGCACCACTGTTTTCTCTAACCAGGTGGAGGAACGTGCTGCTGGAGCCTTTAGTTACTGCTCAGTCAGCCCTCTGGGTCCAGGGCTGCCCGGGCAGTCGTGGCGTAAACATATCGAAATACGAACAGATTATGTGCCAAGAGACTGATTCATGCAGTGACCTATTAAACAGAGAAATTCCTTCTAATGCATGCATGCAAAAAAAAAAAAAAAGCCCCAAACCCAACATTCTTTGGAATAATAACATCAGTGCACTTGACCTTCCTTAGATCCTTGGGAAGGCAGGACTTTAATGTTATTTAGTGAAGCTCTATATGCTGCATTATCCAACCTTTAAGTGATTCCTTCCTTAGAAATGTTTCTTTTCTCCTTTGTGTCACAATGTTTTCATATTATCAGTCATAGTCTAAAGAAAACTACATAAAGATCCAGATTTGGCCTTTTACTGTGGAAATATGTTCATACAATTTAGGAAAAATTGTATGAAATGACACGGCATTCTCGGCACACTAGAATGTGCTATGGAGCAAACAAAAAAGAGTCAGACAGGCTTCAAGGGACCAAAACGATGGGCAAGTGTAATTATTTCCACCATCAATCTTGGAATTTCAGGAATGAAAAAATATTTAATTTGCGAAAGCAAAAGTAAACGTGTAGAGTATCACAGATGTTGTCCCCAGGTTATCTGCAAGGATGTTATTGTATAAGACGGTGACATATATCACGGATCCCAACAAGGCTGCTCTGGGGTTTGGCATTTCCTTATTTTGGCATGCTTTGTTTATATTATTTAAAGGGTGTTCAGGAAGAGAACACCTATTTTTAAAACTAATTACATAAGCTCTCCCTTTCTGTGCAGGTCTTGTTATTTTTAAAAGCCTTGTGCTTTTCTGAAGATGATCCGCCCAGACAAGGGAAAACATCAGCTATATTTCGAAAATGAAAATGCAGTTGGAATGAAATAATGGGCCTCGATGTTTGTGTTTGTGCCTTAGGTGGGAACTGCGAGATATATGGCCCCAGAAGTCTTGGAGTCCAGGATGAACTTGGAGAATGTCGAGTCCTTCAAGCAGACGGATGTCTACTCCATGGCTCTGGTGCTCTGGGAAATGACATCTCGCTGCAATGCAGTGGGAGGTATGTATGGACCCCCGTCCTGGGGCCATGGTGGATGTGCCTGCAAAATGATGTCGTGTTATTTGCTTCAAACATGACTCTAGGGGTACCAAGGAGCCAGCCCCGCAGTGAGAGCCAGTTGGTAACTGGTAGTATACAGCCATCACTGTACAATTTGAAGTTGTGCTAAAAAGCGCAAAACCTAGGTCTTTCGCCTGAAAGCTATATTTGGAGTATCAAGTTTTCCATCTCCTTTCTTAGAGTATAATTACTTCTTTCTCTTAACATATCTCTCCATGGATATTTAAATATCTGGCAGGTGATGAACACTAATAATGTAAGAGTTACTTTTACTTATCAAATGGATAATATTTAGAAAAGTATCTGATTTTATGAGTGTGTGTGTTTAGTTTTTTCAGAATTATAAGATCTGGGAGATAGAGTTGACTAAAAATTTACTTTTATGGATGTGACTTTCCTATGTTGGGCAAAATGAGCAGAGTGGTTTGATGTTGTTGTTTTTTTTCTAAGTTTTGAAAAACCTAGCTCGAGAGGTTAGTGAGGAATGCGGCATTTATCAGGGTTGCAGAGAGATGTCATTGTTTTAGAGAGTATTGTCGCCTGATTTTTCTGGACATGAGAATGGCTGAGGTCCCCATCATGTTCTGCTTTCCTGAGTCTCTCTTCCCAGTAGTTCTCATCAGTTTATGCATCTCAACATGGTCCTGGCTGACTATTAAGTCAAGCCACACTGACTCCAATTTTATTTTTAACTCTTTGTTTTGTAATAATTGTAGACTTGCAAAATAGTTGCAGAAATAGCAAAGACAGGAAGTTAACAGTGGTACAATACTCTTAATTAAGCTACAGAACCTATTCAGAGTCCCCAGTCCCCAGCCATGGTTTTTCTGGAACGGAATCTAATCCAGGATCCCCCACTGCATCTAACGCTCATGCCTCCTCCGTCTCCTCAGACTTGTGGCAGGTACCAGCCTCCCTTTGCATCTCATGACCTTTGCCCTTGTGAAGAATTGAGACCAGTTCTTGTATAGATGGTCTCTCACTTTGGGTTTCTCTGATGTTTTCTCATGATTAGATTAAGAGAGTATATTTTGGGCCCTGGCTGGCGCAGCTCAGTGGATTGAGCGCGGGCTGTGAACCAAAGCATCGCAGGTTCGATTCCCAGTCAGGGCACATGCCTGGGTTTCAGGCCACAGCCCCCAGCAACCACACATTGATGTTCTTCTCTCTCTCTCTCCCTTCCCTTTATAGAATAAAGGGAAATAAAATCTCCTTTATTTTATTTATCTAAAAATAAATTTTTAGATAAATTTATTTTTAAATTTAAATAAATTTTTTAGATAAATTTTTTAAGTAAATTTTTAGATAAATTTATTTTTATCTAAAAATAAATAAATAAATAAAATCTTTTTAAAAATTGAGCTATAATTAATATACAAAATTATGTTATTTTTAAAAAGTATATTTTGGGCAAGAATACCACAGAAATGACACCGTGCCCTTCTCAGGGCCTCCTATCGGGGCTGTCCACCTTGATCACTTGGTGTAGGTGGTGTCTGCCAGGTTTCTTTCTCTGTAATTATTTTTTTTATTTGTAAATAATACATATCTTATGTGAAGGCACTGTGATCTGTTTCCAAAGACACTAAACACATGCATAGTCAGGACTCTAGACCTGTTTCTTATCATAATTTTACCTACTAGTTTTAGGATCCATGAGTAGTTCTTACCCACCACAATTATTACTGTAATGTTTTTCTAACAGTGACTTTCTATTCTTCTTACTCCTCCTGTGTTTATTATAGATATTTTACTGTAAGGAATACCTGTGCTTCTTTTCACCACCCCCTGTCATTTACCTACTTAATTATGTATTCATATCAGTACGGAGTTGTGGATGTTTATTTTAGTCTGTGGGTATCCAATATTATCATTATTTATTTTGTTGCTTCAGTGGCCGCAGCACTGGTCACTGGGCCCACCTACCCAACATTCTGCCCAATGCGGACTTGGTTGACACACTTTCTGGATCTTGATTTTTCGTCCTGTTTAGAACATGCTTAGCCAGTTTTTCAGGATGGGTGCCCCCTGAGCACCTTGCTGTGCCATCCCTGGTTTCCATGGTGCCTGCACGGGGATGGCACTTCCTATCCAGCTGACGCTGTCATTTTCGGGTTTGCTGCCTGAGATTTCTTCCCCCACAGCACTTTCAGAAGTAACTTGTTTTTTCCTTGCACAGTGAAATTTGTTTAACCAAGTTTCAGCTGCTGAGAATAATTTTCTGTTTGAAAGCTTTGACAGTTCCAGAATGAATCCTTAGACCCGTATGAGCTGTGGGAGAGATGATGCTGTTGTCACTGTCAGAATAAATTTACCTACATTTCAGCATCTTTCCCATCCTTCCGAACCCGTTATTCCATAAACATGAGCGGGAGACGGTGTCTCTCTGTCTTTCGCTGTCAGGGCAGCCAGCTTGTTAGGGCCAAGTGGGAGCTCCCTGCCTTCGTTGTTATCAATGATGAAGCCCTTTCCTGTTGCTATTTGCTGAGTGTGGAGGAACTCGGGCTAATGGGGAAGAACAGAGTTCACCAACTTTGATGAGCTCTAAAAACAGATGCAGGGTAAACAAGTTTTCCCAAGGAACAGGATCTCATTTGTTCAGCTCACCTCAGAAAGCCTTTCATAACCTTCAAGGTAAGAACAGACAGACGGCTCTTGGGGAACCGGAAAGAGGCCATCCTAGCTCTCATGCTGTTTGATCTTCAGCCCACAGGCCTGTTTCTTCCATCTCTGCTCGGTCTGCAAAAACCAAAGTTATTTCTCTATCGTCATTTGGGTCCAACAGAAAGCCCTTCACTTGCTTAAATGTGTGAATTCATATATGAAGTCCTTTTTATTTTTTAATCAGGTATTAAGTCCTTTTCTAAAATTCTTTCAAGAGCATTTTTGGGGTATGTCCTAAAGACCTTAAAGACAGATGTTTTTAGCTTCATCTTAATTTCAGACTTTCCGTTTACATTTCGAGAATCTCTTGGAAGGTGTATAAAGCCTGAAGACAAATGGGTTCCCTCCTGGCTCCTGTAGAAACACACAGGTAAAGGCAGGTCTTGCTCTCAAGAAGCATGTAATTTACTGATGAACCAGACTTTGATTTTGTCTCCTTTACTTCTTAAAAATTTACACATGCAGACACAGTTCTTACCTTACAAAGAAAATCAATAATCATGCCCTCCAGTAGATGTAGGGCTTTAATTGATCAGATCTAAGAGAGAGGGCAGGATGAACATGGGCTTTCCTTGAGCTTAAACATCTGTTCTGTCCCTTGAAATACAACATATGCAATTGTGATTTTTTATCACCAGTCTCATTTCTGCAAAGGAAATGTGGAATATGCTTACCTCAGTATAAGGAATGATAGGTCAATATTTTATTTCACACCATGGGGCAAGTGACATTCCATTTAGTTTACTCTGAGCGGGAGAGCATCTAACTGAATGAAGTAGGATACTAAGCAGCGAGGGACAATCTTGCAGGAGAATGTGAGCTCCCAGTTTTCCTGCCTTTGAGCAAGTCCATTCTGTTCTTAGGGCTGAGCCCAAACTCTTCACGTGGGTGTGAGCCAGCCCTTGCTTGCCTCTCTAGGCTTCTCTGCACATAGCACTCTTTTCCTTCTGCAATCATCTTTATGGACATTTTTTAGGTCTCACTTCCAGCCTTTGTCTCATGTTTCCTGGGACTGGAACCCTGAAATCGACTTGTAAACAGCAGGCAAGTGCATTTCAGAGTGGTTAGTACTGCAGGAAGGTAAGGCAGCGGGGCACAGGAGACTGAATGCTCATGCCAGCTAAAGGGAGTGTGGCAGTGGGGTCAGGCAAGGAGGGACAGGTCAGCTCTGCAAGGAAAGATAAGACCCAGGAGCATCCTCTGAGTTGCCCCTTTTTTAGCCAGCCTTTCCTCTGTGCAGAGCAGCACTGATAAAGCACACCATTGGGGAATTCTCACTTTTACCAGGTGAGAAGATGCACCCAGGTGATGATAACACCATTCTGAAGCCAATTTGTACAACTTCATTAGCAGAAATTTCTACCCAGGAGCTCAAGAGATACATTGTCATTATTGAAGACAGTGGTCAAAAGCAAAAGGCTTTCTGGTGGAGGTAGGTTTGCTCACGTAATAAAACACAAAGGGGTGATAGCTACCATGACATGAGCACATGCTTCATGGATCCGCTTGTTGAACCTAGCATGCATTCTTTGGAGCATGCACTGTTATTAGCCCCATTTTACAGATGGGAAAACAGAGGCTTCTGGAGGTGGGGAAAATTGTGGATCGAGGAATCAAAGCCCTATGGTCTGACTCTAAGCCACAGGCCCTAGTCCATGCTGGCCTGACACATTGAGTACATGTGTTTAGTGAATGGCAGGTATAATCGCCATTATTTTTATTATGGATAGGGTAGTCAGTACTGTTTTGCGCATCCTGGCCTTGACACCAAGCCTTTCTGGAAATACCTGGCAAGACAATCACACATGGAGGATACTCAATGACAGCCTCGCTTCTGAAAGATCCCAGTGATTGACTTTCCCTCTCAGGGCCCCCCTGTTGGCCCGGCAGGCTCAATAGGGATGGCCCAGCCAAAACCAGCCCACAAGCCCGACCAACCCCTAAACCTCTAGCCATTTAGGCCTTTGAATAGAAGCGGACACACAGCCGACAGCTGAGCGAGTATTTAACAAAGAGGAAAAACACAACCTGGAGAAGGGCTCCTGAGTGTATTGTCAGCTCCCTGCAGTCTTGTGAGACAGACAAAAAGTACCAATGCATCACAAAGAAAGAAAAGGGGGGAAAAAAAAAGAGGGTGGGAGAGATGGTCTGCAGACTTCAAGGACCAGGATGGAAGCACTTCATTTTCCTGGATTTCAGGGGAGTCTAATTTGGAAGGCAGATATAAAAACTCCGGGGCCCTGCTTCGGGGAAAACTGTCAACAACTTCACTCGCT